TTTGCTTGGATATAGATTAATGTATTATAATATAATAATACGCAGAAACAATTTCTTCATTCTCCTCAAGAAGGATCCATAGTCCTATGGCTATCATAGTTTTCTAGCTACTGCCTCTATTATTAGTAAGAAACGATATCATTAAACAATTTTTTTAACCATTGTAGAATTGTATGATGTGGAATTAGGAAATGTTACCATTAATTTTTCTACTCACTCCGACCAATTCCGTGAACGACATTTCCTAATTGTATTTTTTTTATTTCTTCTTCTTCTTCTTCTTATTATTATTATTATTATTATTATTATTATGATTATTATTATTATTGTTGTTGTTGTTGTTGTTGTTATAATATTCACAAAGCCAGTGCTGCCACTACTAATTACTATTAAGTTTGATTTATTACTAAATTATATTATAAATAAATAACTATTTATATTTAATTAATAATTAATTTGGGACGCTATCCGGGACCTAAAGTTTTATAAATCAAGTACTGCTATCCAGTGTTAAGAAAATATTTCCATAATTAATGAACATTTCAAACCATTATTATTATTGTTGTTGTTGTTGCTATTATTATTTAAAATACTGAGGTTTTTCGTTTAGAAAAAAAATCTACTTGTCAAGTTTATTTAACGGTTTTATAGTATAAACTTTTATCTGCCGTCATTTGGTTAATAATAATAATTATTATTATTATTATTATTTCAAAAACATGTGTGGGGGTTGATTGGGGATTGATATTCTTTCCCCCATCATTTGGAAACGCTGTCTCCTCAGACCACCTCATTCTGAGATTTCGGGGAGGATGGGGAATTGGGGGAAATTATCGTCCTTGTATTGAAATCCAAATTAAATCCGTGAAGCTTAATATTGTAGGGCGGAAATGAGGCGAATCCATTTTTATAACTATTACGGAAGTAGTTCCTGTACATTTGTAAAATGGGTTATCTGTTTCAATCTAAACGTGCATCGTGATACGTATATTTTTGTTTAATCACGTCTGTTAGCCCCACGAGTGACAAAAAATTCGGCGCTATTAAACAATTACATTTATAACTTTATGAAAAAATCATTTGTGTAAATTGTGTACTGTCAAATTCGAGAATAACGAAGCCTTACAGAAATGTTTGTGAAAAAACGGGAAGGTGAATTATGAATAATCTACGATGATAGTTGATGAATTCCTCTAAGAGCGTAAGGGTTAAATAGGTTTTGTCAATGCCTTTCTGCTATCCTGTAAAAACGGCAGACGTCTATTCACACACGAGTTATTAGATAGTAATAATCTTTGTATTTATTTCGTTTTTCTGCTGGAAAAACATTACGAACACCTAATAATTATGAAGCCAAATAAAAACGAGAATCTCTTCTCATCGTTAATTTACGAGACGACAATGAATGAACCTAATCGTAATTAACGATAATGACATTCACATGACAAACAGAGCACTACCGCAAAGATTCATTCATTCGTTCATTCTTCGTTTCATTTTGTACCAATTTATTTTTGGGCCAGAAGGCCTTCTTTATTTTTTCCTCGCCCTTTTCTTATTTTGTCTCAAAGAAGTTTTTCGTAGATTATGGGTACTGTGAAAGACTTTCCGTACGATTCTTTCTCCTACGTCGCTTTTCTCCTTTTCGCTTTTCCCTTGCGTCAGTGAAACTTTCTGCATTATGTTGTGCAGCCTGTCACCAACGTGCTTTGATCTTTTGCGCGCTTCGTTCGTATCAACGATGATCTCATCTGAGTGCGAGTCATATGATGCTTTCGAGGCATAGAAAACTCGTTTGAAGTCTGCCTGGTGATTTGCCGAGAGCATGATGACTGCCTAAAAGAACAGTCGAAAGCCTGTTTACAAAAGAATGTAATAAGAACAGTCGTTGTGAATGGACTTCCGTAATTAATATAATATTCATCCACATATGAACACAATTTTGATAAAAATTAGTTGTTTTTTTAAGTATTATAAAACATTAAATAAAGAAAATATCCCGTTTTTTTCTGATCATACTTACCTTTCTGTCCCCTAATACCGAAAAAGTTGTTTTGTTTTTGTTTTTTTTTTACGTCCGTCCGTTTGTTCGTGAACACCACTGGCGCCTAAATCATGCGTAGGATTTCTTCCAAATAGATATTCCCCGGTCAATTTGGCTCCACTCGAGAGGCTGGTATTTTGTAAAACGTTCTTTAAAATTTGAGGGTACTTTACATTAAGCGCCAGGGACATTTTCAAAATTTCCCCAAGTAAGCTACAGAATTTGTCTTTAAATTTTTTGAAAGAATAGAGTATAATACACATTTGAAAATGGCATAAGTCTGTTTTCACTGTTAACTCTGAATTTTCGAAAATTGCAAAAGTTTTAATTTTTTCTGCCTTTGTCCTACAACTACAAAATTGAAGGTAGATAGTTTTCTTTCAAGTAAAAGCTTTTCTCTGTCGTTAGTTCTTTCATTAAGGTCATGTACATATTTTTTATACTTTTAGTAGTTTTCGCGCAATATTACGTGCAATATGTGCATTATTAAAAAATAATAAAAACAATATTTTCTCTAAAACGGCTCCAATTTTTTTCTTTAAACTTCCGGTAGATATAGTGCTAAATGTACTCTATAAGACGACATAAACGTTACATTGCCCTATTCTTTTTTTGTATCATAAATTACGAAATTGTAATTTTTTGGCTAGCCTCTCACGTCGTTAATATTTACATTATATGCAATTTTTTCACATTACTGTATGTATAAGTACATGTGCTTTAAATAATGTCATATAAAGTTTCTCGAAAACTCAACAGTTTATTGTTAAAATGAGCTCAAAATTCCGCAATTTCAAAAACGCTCAAACGCCATTTTCTCATAAACGGCTACAAATTTTGTCTCCAGACTTTCCCACGGATAGTGCTAAATATACTGTTTAATATGACATAAAGTTAGTTAGGATGTATTGTTTTGTTTTTTCAAGTTAATATGCCGTTAATATGCACATTTCCAGCGATTTATATGCATTATTACATTTATGAGTAGAGGTGCTTCAAATGACTTCCAGTCAAGTTTTCGAAACAGTTTCTTTGAAAAAAAGCTTAAATGTTGCATGAAGAGTAACAAGTAAAAGCCATTTTCTTAAAAACTGCTTCATATTTCGGTTCTACATTTAGGAAATTGAAAGATTGAGGAAATATTTAAAAATGGGCGACAATGAAGGATAGCCTGGGGCCAACCCGAAGAGCTAGCGTAGACCAAAAAAATTCAAAACCTAATTAGTACGAGAAAAACTGTGTCATTCTGTTGAACCTCTAGGTACTATTAAATGTCATGATGAAGCAATGACGTATATAGGGATGCCAAAAACATGCAATGCAGAGAATTTAAAGTTAAAGAATGTGTGGAACAAAAAACACGAGAACCCCATTCAGTGTTTTCTAAACCTCATCTTGTTAATTTGGTATTGTTAAAAGGATCCTATAGTTGCAAACGAATACTAGAATCTCATGAATAGTAATTTTTCCATCAAATCAGTGTTTCAAAATTAAAATAAAATTAAAAATACTGTATATTTGCATGGGTCAATTTAAAGTAGTTACCAATACATTGTAATATTAGAATTTTTAAAAGGTTGACATTATTCAAAAATACTATTGCATGTTAACAAAATTACTTGGTTTATTGTAATTGCTCTATGTTCATTAATTTTAGTTCAGAAACTACTGTGGAGTTTCTTTTGGCGGTACTTGTCTTTCAATAGAATCTTGTTTAAAGGAAAACTTGAATTCACGTTTGGCTGAAATTTCCTCTGCGATATCCAAATCAGGTCTAATCTTGATGTTGTTTCAATGCTACGAATTCTTTCTCCGCCATTTTAACATCGCCCAATATCAATGGTTTAACTATCCAGGGTCATGAACGAATAGGGCAGCCTCACCCTGCTCTATATTTTATGAGCCAAATAAATAAAATAGAAATAATTTTATCAAACGGATCAATGAGGATGTTGTAATGAAGTGGGGCCTCCTTGTAAAAGTTGTTTGGGGATATAATTTTCTGAAAGGGACATGCCTTCAAAATATGAGGTGTCAGATAACTCTGATGTGTCATTGGAACATCTGTTGTTCTACATTTTGAAATTGCTTATATATAGACCCATGCTTAATGAGAGGGCATGCATAAAAAATAAAATTACAATTTTGAAAAAAGGAGTAATTCTTTAAATTTCCAAAAATAACGTTTTTGGGCCTTTCAGTAGTAAACCAAGAAATGGACTTGGTATCCCTTGCAACACCCAGGTTGATGGTAGTTATGCCACTGGTAATCATTTTTTCGTGCTATGAATCGAAACTTTCTGCTAGTATCATCCATACAGTTCATAGGCATATTCGCATCCAATGGTAATAAAAAAAATCTTCAAATATGGAAATCGTTAACAAAACACCCATTTTAAAACCCCAAATTTAGTCTTTCCTCTTTAGGACCCCCTGTTTTCTCTCTCTCTTAGTGTCTCTCTCTCTCTTTCCATCCTCTCTCCCATTGGGTGAGAGTGGAGAACAAAGTATTAGTGAAAAAATATGTTGGAATTAATGTGTTGTAGATTCAAGGTTATTTTATGTTAATCGTATATTGATTCCATCCCATCCAAAGAAGTATTTCCATTATGAATATAATTTTTTTCTAGTTAACAAAAAAAGTTCAATAATATTTTTTACATGTTACATTTTACATTTTTTGCTTTTTAACAACTTGGATATATTGCGACCACTGTAATTGTGTTGAAACGACTAATTAATACATTTAATAATAAAATTTTTAAATTATGAATGTATTCATATTCTATGTTAATTTTCACACATTGTTTCACGATATTTAATCTCCCTCTAATAGGTAAAATTGTTCACCTCCTTTTGTTTCCACCACTTCCATTTGCTTCTTAGCAATTGTTTATTACTTCCTTTACAAGGTCACTTCAGTATCATCAAATTTCATTTTCTTTTATTTGTTGAGAAGGGATTCATTGTTTTGTGGTGTAAAAGAAAGAAGTATGTTTCAGCCATCTTCTACAGTCACCTCCATTTACATAGTTGAATATGTCCTCAGACTTCCAGAAGACTTCAGGCTTGATGAACTCGTTATCTCACTTCCTTACTTCTTTCTTTACAAGGAAGTGGAGTAATGACATTTCTAATGATTTGTTGATATTCCCAATTTCTGTGAAATAACAGGAAACAAATATGAAAATAACTGAAAGATATTTGAGATGGTTTGTGATTTGCTTTTCTTCAATTTAGGTGTTATATTTGAATAAATTGAGGGAAAACAAAAGACTTTTAACTTATATTTTGCATTGATTGATCCAGTAAAAAGTTAATGTTATATTAATGTACAACCTAGTTAATTTTTTAATTGTGACAATAGATTTTTGTATTTAAATTGTCTTAATTATATTTCTGTAATGACATATTTTGAATTTAAATTATCAATATTAACATTGGAGTATTTTTCATATATCCCCAAAACTATAGGATACACATTTTCAAGTCAAAACCTGGGAAAATAAGAACTGTATGTTAAAAAATTTCAAAAAGCCCAATTTTGTTTGTTAAATCTCATTTAAATTTCAACCATTTGGCAGCACAATGACTTTGTTGGTTTTATTTGTCAAAATTTCATAAAATTTTGCACTGGTAAATTTTTATTAAAAATCACTGCTCAATTGTCACATTTTAATAAGTCTGTGTGTTATAAAACCCTCTAAGATTAGTAACATTTCAAAGTTAGTTTGACCTCATCTTCACACTATTGATATAACAAATACTCTCTAAGTACAGTAGTTTTCCTCTCTCTCACTTAGAATCATTAGTGAAGCCTACTATTTCCTTTACATTAAATGCATAAAAAAGGAAATTATTACTGTTTGATATAAAAAAGTTAAAAACCAACATAAAAAATATTAAAATTACTAATACAATTTATTTTTGTTACTAACTACTATATTTTATACTCTTTAGGTTCCTCAAAATTAACTCTTTTTTCCCCAAGTTAATTGCAGTCGTTTTATAAATGCTATTGACCTACTTTGCATGCATTTTTTTGCAGCATGCAGACTTAGTGCAGTTTTTTATTCAAGAAAACAACATCTTGTTCTATCATCCCATAGTTTCTCAACTTTTGCACAAATAATTTGTCAAACTTTCATTTTAAATCTAGAAATTGTTATGTTTTTATTAGAATCCTGTAATACTTCATCAAAAGATTGAGAACTTTTTTCACTTTGCAGTGTATGTTAAAAAAATAGACACTCATTCAACACTTTACGTACACATATTATGGATTATGAGATATCCTTGTGTTTACACAACGATGTCTTTGTTTACAGTTAAAGTAATTGTTTTCATTATAATTGTGTATTACTAGCTATTTTAAAATTTAAAATATCCATATTTTCTGTTGTAGATGATGTTCTTGATGCGTAGCCATCATATGCTGACTGATGTTATCTTGGAGGTTGGAGCAGAGCTTTTCCATGCACACAAAGTGGTACTTGCTGCAGCATCCCCTTATTTCAAGGTAAATGCTCTTCACAAACATTCACAATGCACAAAGTTAATATATTTAACTCCTACAAACACTGTACTTATTTGCATTTCTTATGTTTGTAGGCGATGTTTACTGCTGGATTGAAAGAATGTGAGATGTCCCGAGTAAAACTTCAGGGCATCTGTCCTACTGCCATGGCAAGGTTAATGTATTTCATGTACACTGGCCAAATTAGAGTTACAGAAGTAACAGTTTGCCAGCTGTTGCCAGCTGCAACAATGTTTCAGGTTAGATCAGTTCTTCAAGTTCCAAAATTATTCTTTCTCATTTTCTGATTGAGATTGCTTTTTAACTCATTTAAAAACTGCAAAATTTAATCTTCAAATTTGTTTATGTGCAGGTAACAAATGTAATCGATGCCTGTTGTGTATTCTTGGAACGACAACTCGATCCAAGTAATGCAATTGGCATTGCAAATTTTGCTGAGCAACATGGATGCAAAGATCTTAATCATAAAGCTAACCAATTTATAATGCAACATTTTTCACAGGTTTGTATCTGTTTATTTGCTTCATATATTAATTTGTAAATAATATATTGTTGTTTGACTAGCTATTTGATGTTTCATGGTAGAAATTCTTTGTGTAGATCTGCCAAGAAGAAGAATTTTTACAACTTTCCGCTATTCAGTTAGTAGCACTGATAAAACGCGATGAATTAAATGTTCAAGAGGAGCGTGAAGTGTACAATGCTGTGCTGAAGTGGGTTCGCTATGATGAAGATAATCGATATCCCAAAATGCAGCACATATTGTATGCCGTGCGTTGCCAATATTTGACACCATCTTTTCTTCAGAATCAAATGAAGCACTGTGATGTTCTGAAAAAACTTCCTGCATGTCGAGAATATCTAGCAAAAATTTTTAAGGTAATTCTGATAATATTTTTGTATTATTTATTTTTTCAAAAAGGAAATAACTTTAAGAAAAATGTTGAAAGATTTTTCATTCATGAAAGGAAAAAGACCATTTTCAAATTTTTAGCTTGCGAATTTAACTTGAATTGGCTGGAGAACATTTTGATTTTTTATGATATTCCACAAATCAATAAACTTATTTGGAACAGATTTTTCATTTAATTTAATTTTAATTGTGTTTTATTTTTCAGTTCCTGTTATCTTCAATGTACATTGTATTCTAATTTGAATTAATAACCACATAATATGTATACTTATCGCAATTAAGTAAATATTGTATTTTTATTAAGGATAAAATGTTGGATTAATTATAAGATATTTATCTTCATTGATACTTATCAGAGGTTTCTGAGACTTTTTATTGTCCTTTATTTTTTTTGTGAATTATGATTATAGATATAGACACATTTCCATTTTGTTTATAGGATCTGACATTACATAAAAGGCCACATGTCAAAGAAAGAACTCCCAACACTCCTCGTGTTATTTATATAGCCGGTGGCTATTTAAGGCACTCATTAGATGTTTTAGAAGCTTTTAATGCTGATGACAAAACATGGACTACACTAGCTAGATTAACAGTCCCCAGATCAGGACTTGGAGGAGCATTTCTAAAAGTAAGTTGCTTTTATATTTTCTGTAGTAAACCATAATGAAATAATTTGCCCTAAAATAATTGTTAATCCATTATTTACTGTAACAATTAATTTTACAATTAATTATTCCAAAACCAAATTTGAATCAGTTACTATTTTGAATGTTTTCAGGGGTTTTTCTATGCTGTTGGTGGACGCAACAATTCTCCAGAAAGTAGTTATGATTCTGACTGGGTTGATAGGTATAACCCAGCCCGTGACCAGTGGCGACCTTGTTCACCAATGTCAGTGCCACGTAATCGTGTTGGCGTAGCTGTAATGGATGGATTGTTGTATGCAGTAGGAGGTGCTGCAGGCTCTGAATATCACAACAGTGTAGAGAGGTGAGGAAATAATTTTTGATTGATTTCTATATTTGTTTGTTATTATAATAACAGCATTCTACTAATTATTTTTTAAAGAATAATTGATTGCACTTTCCAGGTTGGAAACATGCATTCATTTATAATGTATTTCTATTTTATGGTACATAAAGAAGTATGAAATTTAATTTAAATTTATAATATAAAAACAAAAAAAGGTAGTGTCTTAATTTTGATAATAGAGTTGTTAAACTATTTTGATGGTTCTTTAATGAAAGATTATGTTTGTTTTATTAAAATTTCATTTTTTAAAATTATTTTTTATTACTTAGTTTCAATCAAATATTTAAGTATTATAAGCATTTAATTCCTCCTTTTTTCTAAACAGAAGCTTTTCTTTAATTAATTATAACAATGACAAAATTAATTGGAACTAACATTGTGCTTGTTAGTTTACTGTAATCAAGCAGTGATCTTTAATTATCGACTACTTAATAATTTCTTGGCCTTATTTTCTGTTTCTACTGAAAATAATCAACTTCTTAAATAACCTCCAAATTTGATTCTAAGTTCCCTTTTTTTAAGTGAAATTATTTTTTTAGATATCATGCATAGCATTGCTTATCTCTAATCACTTGTGTTTTAAGTGCCTATGAGCTATCTCAATAATGATGTTACTACTTGGTTTTATATATCTTTTTGATTATCATAGTCTTAAAACCACAATTCATTATTAACATGCAAAAAGTCTACTAGATGAGATCTTGTTTGTTCAATGTGACTTCAGATAAATATTGATGTAATTGTCATGCAAATTATATAGCTGGAAATTTCATGATATATTAATGGTTAAAAATGCTCTGAGGAAATATCAATTTTTTCATTTTGGACACAATCTTTCTTTACTTAGCCATAAATAAAGAGAGTTTGATATCATTCCTTTTTTCAATTTTCTAGCTAGAAGAAAAAACATCTTGGGATAAAAATATCTTTCTGATTAGTATTGATTCTTTCCCTTATTGCATATTGCACAAATTCCTTTCTCTTTTTCTTTCTTTTTATATTTTTTTAATTTATTTCTTTTTTTAATTTTATTTAGTTTACTGATTCTTACCATTCTATCACAAGTATTTCACATATAAACTTTTTTCAAAATATAAATTTTTTGTTTGTGGATCTAACACCAAAGCCAAATCCTTATTCTGCATTTCGAAAATGTTTTTCAGTCCTAAGATAAACTTGATAGAATAAAATGTCTTATCATTTCAGATCAGAAAGATAATACAGAAGAGATACAAAATATTGAAAATAGCCTAGATAGAAATCGGAAGGAAATTCAAGTTGATAAGATATAGAACAAAAAATAATTCACAATTATATAAAAAGCTATGATCTTTTATGACTACCAGTACTTTAATTCATGTACTTTAATCTACTTTTCGGTTAATTACAGGTATGACCCAGACGAAGACAGGTGGCAAGGAGTCAAATCAATGCATACTCGACGGCTTGGAGTTGGAGTTGCGGTGGTAAACAGGCTTCTCTATGCAGTTGGTGGTTACGATGGATCATCCCGATTAAACTCTGTGGAATGTTATCATCCAGAAAATAATGCTTGGACAATGGTTGAACCTATGACGCTTAAAAGGAGTGGTGCAGGTAAGGCATCTTAACAACTTAACAAAAAATCTTTATCCTTGAATGAATCAGTTACAAAAATAAATTCGGAAAAATTTTATTTTTTCCCTTATTTCTAATTGTATATATTTGTATTATTAATAATTTATCAGTACATTCAGTGGTGCCTTTTATCCTCAAGATTTGTGGTTCACAAATAATGACAATGAGATGGGGCTCAACCCAGATATCTTCACCAATGAAAGTAGGCATCAGGAGGAGTCTATAGCTGAATGGTGTGTGTATTGGCAGATGTCTGGATCAGTCCACATCTTGTTATTTTTTTAGGACCACTAACCTTGAGAACATGAGCTGTTTTTGAATAATGGTAGCAAGAACAATGATATATTGATGATATTTTATTAGTCAGAAAATAATTTTACACTTTTTTTTATCATAAAGGTGTAGCAGCCATGAACCAGTATATTTATGTTGTTGGAGGATATGATGGACAGCAGCAATTAAGCTCAGTTGAGCGATATGACACAGAAAAAAATACTTGGCAGAGTGTAGCAGACCTGAAATTTGCCCGCAGTGCCCTGAGTGTAACTGTTCTAGATGGAAAATTGTATGCAATGGGTGAGCATTCTATTCTAATAAAGATCATCCAATAAAATGGTTTCTGAATTGTGATTATTCTTTAATTCATTAATTTTAATTTTTTTGGTAGGTGGTTATGATGGGCAGTCCTTTGTTTCAACAGTAGAAGTTTATGATCCTGGCAGTGATGCATGGGAAGAAGGTCAACCTCTTACTAGTGGTCGTTCAGGACATGCATCAGCCGTTTCCTATCAACCATGTCTTATTCACTGTGAACATCATGAACATATGATAGATGGTCCTACGACTCCTGGAGGAAGTTCAAGTCCATCATTAGGCATGGGCAAAAGCCCATTACCATCCTGACATATGGACAACCCTCCACAAGGGCCATCAGACAAAACAGACACCTAAGTGCATGGTTTTTCCATTAAAGTTATTTTGTTTTACTAAAAACAGCGCTGTTTAAGAAGAATCTTCAAATACTTCATAATTTTTACTAAGTGTGGAAACAATCGCCAGTGAGTTGTTCTTGTTCTTGAGTTGTGCTATATTCTTACTCGTGAAGTGTTTCAGATCATTTGGACTTTAATCTTGTATCAAGAATAATGGGTGAAACATGTTAGATTATTAGGTAAATTATCTACAGATCTTCCTTTGCTTTTGCCACTCCCTTGGCTCTCAGGGTTTGAGGAACTCTGTAGTAATTAGAATTTCACAAAAATATGTAAATATTTGTGTAGCAATTATTTTTGTACTCTGGAACATTCCAGATAATAATGATGTTACAAATCTCCAAGTTTCATGCAATTTTTGCTCTAGTCAAAAATTCTTGGAGGTATAATTTGTATATTTTCTTCAGTCTTGAATCTGTAAGACAGTTGTTAATAGAAATACATGTATTTAAGTTCGTAATACGAAAATAAGTAATGAGTTTGTTTACTCAGCTTGTTTTATTCAGCAACATTTTAAGTGATTTAGATTCTGGAAATTTCCAAAGTATTAGACATCAACTGATTTTCTAGAAGGAAGTTAACTCATTAGTATTCAAAATCCTTGAAACTTGAAATCTGTAATACTTGGTTTCAAATCTTAATATTATTTGAATTCGAGTAAAATTCCCCAAGATTTTCAACTTCCACGGAACAAGAAACACTTTATTTTATTGTAGTCTGTCTTCCTCAAATCATTATTTTTTAATGAAGGAATGTTTTATTCAAAATAAATGCTCCCAGTTAAAGTTGTTTCATCTCCTACTAGAATATATCATTGAAGTTTTCCCGAAATATTTAAAAACAAGGCAGGTCATTTTTATTCATATTAACAGTTTTTTATTCTTTAATTGTTGATGATATTAATGTCACTTATCTCATCTCCAAAACCAGGCTAATAAGGGGGCACACTGTAATATTCTTTTTGAATCACTTGTTAAACAAGACCAAGTAATGGACTTTGTGTCTTCCAAGATCTTCTCAGTAGTAACATGAAAAATAGAAAATTGTGTCTCAACTTTAATTTTCTCTTGAATTTTATAATTCTGATGTGTTAAAAGTTCCTAAAGGATTTGGATAGGAGTAATTTCTGAAATATGTGCTTAAACGTTGACCATTGAGCGCACTTGTGGATCAATAAAATGAACACATCTTCTGTTGAGAAACTAAATAAAACTGATCCTGATTTTCACATTATTTTCCTGGATTTAAATGTTAAATTTATAATCTTATGTATGAGCTAAATGTGTGAATGTGCAAACTAAATGTGTGAAAATGATGAATTTTCAAAGGATTCACCACAATCAGGGAATTGTCTGATATTCGGGTAAATAAGGTATTTGAAAATACTACAAATTTACCATATTTTAACATCAACATTAAAATGAGTAATTGTTGTGTAATTAAAAGTTAAGGATGCAATGATGATTCTGATGTTTTCAAAACATCGATGTTTTTATAAAAATATCAATATTTTAATAATGTTTTGTAATTCAACTTTTTTTTTTTGGGCAACCTTATGTATCAATCAATAAATTTATGAACCCCTTTTTTAGTTGGCTTAATGTATAAATATAATTTAAAGTTTTCATGTTATTTATTTTTTAAATTAAATTAAGCCAACCAAAAATAGGGGAACATATATTTATTTATTTATTTATCGATGTTTTGTTGTCAATGTCACATCACTAGTACCAATGTCATGATTTGAAAGAATACGAGATGGTAGTTTGTCTATTTGGAAAATAAATTGACAAGAAAATTTAACAATATTTTGTTATTGGAATTAAATTACATTGATATGGAAGAAGAAATTAAATCTACTATGAAAATTTTAAATAATAGTAGAATGCTGTTTTAAAATGGTAAATTTAAAATGACCATTACAAAACTTGCTATTATCTAATCAGAATTATTTGAAAAGTATTTGCAAAAAATTTTTTGATACTTAATTTGTAGTACTTTGTATAGTATTATTGTAATTTTTAGTTTCAAATATTTCCATTCCAGTGCAGACATGATTTTTAATTAATATCGTCACAAACTCAATACATTTTACTGACCTTATTTCATTGTTACCTATGATGAGTCATAGGAAACATTTGTAACTGTATTAATTGTATTCACCAGTTTCCCTATGAACAATTATTTAAAATAGATAAGCTATATTTCTGAATTAAATTTATGTATTGAAAAATGACATAAACATTTATGCTTAGATGCATAGTCCTAAATGGGTTCACATCAGAAAATATGAAAGAGTGTTGAGGAGAGGAACAATGTAGATTGTCAAGAACAAGGAAAGTGAAATATAAATGTGCCAAATAATTAAAGTTGAATTGGAAGAAAACATTTTACTTAGCTAATGCTTTGCAAAACTAATATTTAACTTCACTTGCTCTTCACTTAAACTATTTTCTGTACTCAAAGTAGAAGAGAGGTTCATGGACACAAACATCACAGTCATATCTCTAAAATATTACTTAACTTTTCACTGCATGCTAATTTATAGCATTACTTATAATTTGTTTTAACTTTGTAAACTTTTTTTTCTTCTTTCATTTTAAATATTGTGAATGAAATTAAGATTTCTCCTCACATACACACACACCTTTAACATTGTAAATTCATTATCAAATGCTTCAGTCGCACCACAAAAGTTGGGAGGATGTAAATTTTCTCATTAAATATTAAAGATAATAAATAATAGTATCTGATGAGAATCATTTGGCTAATTAAGGTAAAAGCTTTGGTTGATCCCATAAACCATGGCTGTAGAAATTAAAATAGACAAAATAATTCTCTAGAATTCGTATTAATATTATTTTTACTAACAGGAGCTTTGAAAGCTACTAGTAACTTCTAGTGGTGGCATCAGCAATGTCCTGGATTTTAAAATTGCACTAGGCAAACCGCAAATCCCAAAGTCTACAGACTCCCCTATATTACATAGTTAAGAACATTAAATATTTTTCCTGATTGATTTATATAAAAATTTACAAATTTATCCCTCTTGTCTTGTATCTGAAAACAGTCATATTTTTTCTGTTTTAGATGAATTTCTTATTCACAGAAAAATCTAATAATAGAACTGGATTTTTTTTAAATTTTCCCTCTTGCTAATTGCAACTTAATGTTGTAGTAAATTGTATTAAAATATATTCAAACCTTTGGAAGAAGGAAACCTCGCACATCAAACAAAACTTATCAGAATATAATAATTTTATCTATGAAAACATTTGGGATATAGTAAAAGCAAAAAGGTCTATTGAGAACTGTATGTGATTACAACCTTGATAAGAACAAATTTATTTTTGAATTTCCTGCATTCTTATTTGTGGAAAGACACAACATAGGATCTAACCATAATGGAATGAAAGTATGCATTATCTTCCTACCTTTTCAGCATTTTTTGCCTTTCAGGCCAATTTCCATAAGTGGTTTCAACATTGCACTATAAAAACAACAAAAGAATTGGTTGCTGTCATCAATCTGTTACTGAAGATTAGGGATTTGATATGTGTGAAAGAAATATAATTCAATGTAGTTTACTAAAACAAAGATATGAACTATATATATTTACTCTAGTAGGCAGTAAATATAATTAGTATAAATATTTATACTAATTTTTGAATTATCATAATGCTAAACTTTTAAGATATCTAAATCTCTACTTTTGGAAATCTTGATTTAATTCTATGAGGAAATTAATGAGAACAATATAAATTAAATATTGTCTTGTCATAGAACTCTGTTCAAGAATGTAAAACATTTTCATTTTGTATTTTTTCTAAATTGAATTCATTATGTAATGGAGAATTTGGTATAAATTTTAGACTTCTGGTTTTCTATTCTTGCGTACTGTGAACAATTAAGCGATGTTTTTTTCAACAATCCCAAATGTTTCCCTTGATCGAAGAATTCTATGCAAAATAAATGCATATACCTTATTTTTCCTGTGGTTTTCAGTTGACCATTCATTCCCTGTATTACAATTTATTTATGGTATATAAGACATGTTACTTTCGTTTTTTTGTTTCATTATCAAAATATTATTTAAAGTAACATATTGACAGAATGTTGTGAATCTTTGACTAACCTCTTCAATTCAGAATCCTGCCTAGATCGAAGAGTTTTGTAAAGAAGCCATTATGTTTTGTTGCGGGTCTTTTTTTTAAGATGACACCTTTTTTTCTATTTTTTCTGTATAATGCTTATCTCTAATGAAAAAATTCAGATTTTATGCAATGTGTTGGCAGTAAATTAAAGAATTATTCTCAATCACTACAAAATTAACTGATGTCATAATATCCTCTTAAAAGTAATAAATGCACAAAAGCATTTTAGTAAAGACTTCATGATTGAATTTTTAGTTGACCTTTTACTATATAAGATAACATTATAATAATATATTTAATGTGAGATGATTAATATCAAAACATAACTCTTGCAATGATTTTACAAGAGAAAGAAAAATATTCCATCCTATGTGAAAACAGAAGAACAGGATATGTTTTCATTATATTTGTGGTGGGAACAATATGGATTTGAACTAGAATATCCCTTCATGGAGGATAAGAAGGACCTCTTCAACTTAGCAAAAAGTAAATTTTTGTAAATAATGAACTAGTTGTGATAACAAATGCTTCATATGATGAACATAAGATAAGATGTTGCTTTAAATTAAATAAAAACCAAAATGCACCTGTGTACATCATCAGTTAATATTAAATTATAAAATATTGAAAGAATAATAAAGCTATTAAGTAATTTAAAGTTAACTTAAAGGTGATGGTATTGACTAGGTCAGATTAAACCGTTGAGGGAGTGTCCTGAAAGGATGATAATAGTTGTGGGAGCAGTCAATATGACTAGAGTAAATAAAACGTTATGAACACCTGAAAGAGCGAGACAAAAAACAGAAAGGAAAAAAATAACTTGTCTAGGGTGAAAACCCTCACAATGACAACATGAATGGATCGCCGAGTAAACAGCTAGTACCTGAAAAGCGTGAGATTGAGATTTGTAAAAACATTGGACTGACAACCCGAAAGTGTGTGCAAGAAGAGTGTAAAGTACGAATGAAAGGGCTAGACAGCCCGAAAATGTGTGCAAGAAGAGTGAGTGATGAAGTACGGCTGAAAGGGTTCCATCGAGCGAGGCACACGATGTGCTGCGACAAGTGAGAATGAAGAAAACTTATGAGCCAAGGAGATGCCAAGCAAACGCAAAGTGAGAAACAAGCAAACGCAGGAGGACACCCGTGAAAAGAGTAGAAGAGGGCGAACGGACCTTCTGTCGAATAGAAGAGCAAGCACAGAGCGGCATTGAGATATAATCGTAATTTAAACCTGAAAGGTCGGGAGGAATGCATTCTAGGATAGAAAGGCGAGCATAAAAATGCTGTTGAGTGGCACTAACGCCGTACGTTTGACCTGAAAGGTCGAGAGTGGTGCATTATGCGATGCAGAAAGGCAAGCATGAAATGCTGTTGAGTGGCACTTACGCCGTTTGAAAGGTCGAATAGTTTGCGGTGGTCAATGATAACTAACGAAATTTACTTTTAATGCTAACAACAAAATGGATTCTTGATATTAACAAGATGAGTCAATGTGGTCTATTTACAACTTAAATCTAACATAAATTATCATAACACGATAAACTATTAAAATACGAATTGATAATGTGGCGAAATTTTAAATGGGAAGTGACAAGTGACAAAATAGCTTAACTAAGTTTCTTAATACTAACACAATACAATTCTTACCCTGACACAAATCAAATCATTAACCTGGGATTGCTAAAACTAACACAAATGAATAATACAATGACAAATAGCTAACCTAACATTTTTTACATAAACTGAACTTAAAAAGTTGCCAAATAGAGAAAGGAGACTAATATTAACACAATAAAATATTCACAAAGAGGATATGTACAATGCAGTTTAAACGCAATAGTGACAGTAACTCGAATTACATGGTGAATTTAGTCCTGAATGGGAAGTGACACAAGCGATGTATGTGCCTTATGAACGAACCTGCTTTGGTGCTGACTTAACCGTTCTGACACGACCATCATGTCCAGGAAATAGCTGTCTGATTATCCCAATCTTCCACTCAAGCGGTGGGAGGTTTTCGTCTATCAGTAAGACAGGAGTGTTTGTCTTCACAGTAGGAGAGATGGAAGTCCATTTACTGCGTTGTTGCAAGGATTGCGAATATTTCTTAGACAATCTCTTTCTAAATGCAAGTGATCGAGAGTTCAATTTGGTCCCAAGTGGAGCGCAAAGAGGTAGGTTGAAATGCATTGGGGTCAGGTAACGCTGTGAGTGATCTACCAATTAGAAAATGACCCGGTGTAAGATAATTGAAGTCATTAGGATCATCTGTTGGACGAACCAGGGGTCGCGAATTCAGTATATATTCTAAGTGAGCGACGACTGTTAGTACGAAGTTCCTCATAAGTGAGTGTTGTTTTCACCTAGTTGCCTAAGCAAGTGCCGTTTTTAAATTTTGATGCTTGACTCCCAGAGCCCCAGACATGAGGGAGTTTGGGGGGAATGAAACGCCAAGTGATGTGGGAATTGGCGCAAAACTCAACAATTTGCTCCTGAAAGGCTAGTGGTTTGAATATTTCGTGTAACACATTCAACCGTTTGTTTGCTCCCACGAATGTGGTGACGTTGTCTGAAGAAATCGCGGTGAGATGACCACAACAAGAGACAAAGCAACTTAATACCATTAAGAAGGCTTTCGTAGTTAAGAAAGAAACTATTTCAACATGAACGGCCTTTGTGACCATGCATACAAACAATACAAGATACGCATTGATTCGAGATTTACCACGAATACCGAACCTTAGCCAAAAGTGATCGGTATAGTCGACTCCAACCATATTAAAGGTGGTGTTAGGTGGGACACCTGCAGAGGGAAGATTACCCATTAGCTGTTGTGCAGACGGGAATGTGCCAAAAGCATGTGACATTTACGCAACACGGATTTGATCGCTCAACGAATGGAGACAATCCAGTAAGTTTGTCGTAAATAGTTAAAATGTAAACGTTGGCATGATCCAATTTTAAATGAGCATAAAAATGAGTGTATTAGTGAAATGGTGCAGACAAGGTAAATTAAGTGGGTGCAACACGTCGAAAGGCAACTCGGCTTCTAAGATTTTACTGCCCTAACGAAGGCACCCGTTTGAATCAACAAAGGGGTTGAGTGAAAGTAGGACACAGCTCGTGGGACAGACTGAGTCATTAGTAAGAGCCTTCAATCTTGGCAAAAAGGCATGTTGTTGCACGATTTTTATGCAAGCCGTTTTAGCAAATTCAATTTTATGAACGTTAAGGGGTGTCATGATTCTAGAAGTGGAGTTTGTGCTTGACCTTAATTAAAGTTAATTTGAGCAAAGAAATTAATTGAATTATAGTTGCGATGACTCAAAGTGTTTTTCGAAAGGAGCCATAGTAGAAGCAAATTCTTTGATAAAGATAAAAATTGCAGGGATTGAAAACTAGTGCAGGAGGATTGTTGATTGTGGTGTCTTTTGACCATTTTTTTTTCACGGCGTAAGAATTCTGGGCCAGACCACCAAATATTTAAATTTAGCAGCCTTGCCTTCACTACAGGTGAAAGTAGTCAGCTGGATTCATGGCAGATGGAACATAACGTCAGGTGAAACTATCTGTTTTATCTAATGAGCTGTGTACGATTGCGCCCGAAAACATTACCCCTGAGGGGTGGTGAACGAATACAATCTAATACTATCTTGGAGTCTGTCCACAATGTTATAGAATTAGAAGTAAGAATTTGAGAAAGAATTTTAAGGCTAAATACACTGAAAAATACTTGTAGGAAAATTCAATAGATCGCAGCACTGTCGTAGGGGAATTTACTTTACCGATAAAGGCTGAACCATGGTCCGATTTTCGATCTGTAAACGGCATTTGACGCCTTTTTAAAATATAATTTACGCTACGAAGCCCTTTTTCCAAAAAAATGGCAAAAACTCGAATTTGAAATTGGTGCTCGATCTTCCGAGAAAAAATTAAAAAATGTGGGCTTATAGCCAATGGCTACATGTTTCCTGAATCCAACGCCGTGTCATTCATGCAAATCGGATGAATAGGAGCGTCGTAAAGAGAAATTTGGGAAAACAACATCGCTCCCCTCCCCCTTTCCCCCGTTGCGTCATCTTCCCGTTGTGGGCCCTCTGTCGGCGCGGCGGCACGGTCAGCCACGGCAGAGGAGGCCAGAATTGCGAGACAGGCAAGCCAGGCAGTCGGTTTATGCTTTCTACACTTTGCATCTCAATATATTTTTCCCCCACACATCAAACTAGTGATGCTGTAACAAAAGTAAATGGTCTCTCATCATCTGTAATAGTAGTATGAAACTATTTATATAGTTCACATATTTCCGTCTTCCTTCGAATACCGTCAATTGTTTGAGGCTGATTTCAAATTTTGGTGCTTTCTAATTGTGTAAATATCACTCATATTTCATCACCTCACATCTTATTATACATATATTTTACTTCTAAGATTTTCCTTTATCATTCCACTACCGGAAAGAATGAGCAGATATAACGCACGGGCACTTTTATCCTACGACTCGATTTTTGATCCCAAAACGGCGTTTGCCTCCTTTGTGATTCTATTTTCCCAAGTAAAATAGCTGAAGTTAATTTTAAAAATGTTTTCATACTTTCGGGCAAATTTGAAAAAATAAAAAAACTCGATGTCATTTTTGAATCAAATTATTCCTCCCGTGAATACGTAAGAGATTGCTAAACCAGATGGATTTTGGGCAATATTTTAATTTTGAATATTAAATTGTTGAAATTAAATTTTTATGATGACTAGTGGACCCGACAGACTTCGACCTGTCAAAAAGATTTGTAATTTTTTTGTTCCTACATATTTGATAGTCTGGGCAAAAAAATCTCCTGAACAGAACCGTCACTCTGGTGATAGGGCGTTGTGAATAAGAAATATGATTAAATAAAAAAAAATAAGCATTTAAAAGTAAGTATTCGCTTTATTGTTAATCATGTGAATC